TTAGAAGTCTACTGTTTCGATAGCCACGATTGTCTTCCAGTTTTGACTTTAATTATGAGGTCGATTTTCCGATTTCTTTTTATTGCACAAAAGATCCCCCTCCCCTTTTTTATCCCGTACCCCAGCCCATTATTTTAATAGGCTTTCTAGGAACACGTAACTTTAGTCTCCCTACGCCCCGCCCATATACATACTAGATCACTTTTAATTTGTAGTTCCTGAGCCCCATGGCCTTTGCCCAAGGAGGCTAGTGTGATATGCCTACATTACCTGTCAGATGACGATCTTAAATTATTGTGTTAGTGCCATAAACACAACATGCACCACAAAGTTTGAAAAAAGGTTTATTGTTCGGGTTACAGGATTGTCACACACGTTAAACATTCGCCACAGTCTCATCATCATCCTCATCATCATCATCATCGTTTTTGTCAACTTCGTCTGCTTCTGCTGTCAAGCGTCGCTGAAGAAGAAGAAGAAAAAAGAAAAGAGCGGGGGGGGGGGGGGGGGGGGGGGGGGGGGGTAGGCAAACATGTTGAATATAGCAGACTTGAGAATTGCCATTGTAGCACTCGGGACATTCCCATAAGCGCTCCATCACCATCTTCAGCAGCCAACGCAGAGCTGCAAATCCGATGGTGCCAGTAGCAGAATGATTGCAGGCCTTGCCTTTACTCTTAGTGTTGTGTAAGTGTGTGTGTTTGTTGTGTGAGTGTGTGTGTGAGTGTGTGTGTGTGAGTGTGTGTGTGTGAGTGAGTGAGTGAGTGTGTGTGTGTGTGTGTCAGATTGAGTGTGTGTGGGTATGGGGTAGGGGCATCCATATTTTGTGAAATATTTTCGTTGAAAGAAAAACAAATCTTTTCTGTTGGCGACCACTTGAAAACTTCCAGGATCTGATTTGTGTTGTAGGCGTTTCAGTTTCATTTTTTTTCCCATTGGTTCGGGAATAACTTATGATACTGTGGGTGGTGCCCCTCTCCCACATATAGTTTTCCTGTTTCTGTTTGAAACAGAGAAATCCGCTGCGCTGGGAGTCCCAGCAAGTTTTTTTTTTTTTTTGCGATGCATTGTTTTGTGAAGCTTCTGATGACCCAGTCTCTTTTTCTTCTTCTTACCGTTGACTGGCTGTAAACTCCGACAGAAAGTTCTGGTTATTCTTCCACCTCTGGACTTTAGTACTGGTCCAGAACCTGAGTTCTGCGTGCATATCTGTTTTACAGATCTTGCTTATTTGTATACAGACGGTTGGTTCCTCGCCCCCGGACTTTGAAGGAAATACCCTAATTTGGAGTCTTTGGACATGCTTATAGTGGGCTACAGGGTCTGTTCTTTTTTCTTCCCCAGAATGGAGCCTGAAAATCCATACGGGAATGATGTCCAGTGATCTTCCACAATCTGGGCATATTATTCCGCGACTGAGCATTGTAAAAACCGCCCTTTGATTAGTGTTAGTATTTTCTGGAGACATTGTGTTAAGTTCATACCTACCCCTGTTTCCAAACGATAGTGCTCCATTATTATATAGAGAGGCACGAGAGATCCGACGCTCTGCTTTGTTAACGTCAAAGGAAAGTGGGATAAGTATAGGTCCCTTTTCCACGACTTTAGGCGAATTGGGAATATAGGACTAGACCTATATTTGTATAGACCACTCGGCACTTGGTGGGTGACGTGGTCAGCATCACGCCGACAGATTAGTAGGCAACACTGAGATTCTAGAACATTACCAAAATCTGGAGTTTTCGAACAATCAGAACTTTATGCCGAAGTTTACAGCCGGTGAACGCGAAGAAGAAGAAGAACAAGCATCTGATGATTATAGCGGGCAAACTGTTTAATTTCCAAGCTAGTCCGAGAGAGAAGGTAGGCTCTTATTCATTGTCAGATAATCGCTACTCACGTTTGTGTTCTGTGTCATGAGTTAACTATACTCAAGTTCTTAGTTGTGTTGCTGTTTTCCAGTCAATCTGATCTTGGTTCATGTCCGCACGTTTATGTCCAGGTTAAATAGATTATTATTATCTCATCTCCTTTTCTCAGTTCACTTTTAAGTAGATCGCGCTCCAATCCACCTTTAAGTAGGTTGCTCCAATCCACCTTTAAGTAGGTCGCTCCAATCCACCTTTTCAAATTATATGAGCAATAATAGCAAGGCTGGTTGGTTTTGGTTTTTGTGGCTATGGTTTTTACAGGATGAGGTAGCCAACCTCAAGCCCAACCCTACCCTTAGTCGCCTCTTACGACATGCCTGGTAGGGTGCAGTGTCCCTATTCTTTGCTTCCCGTGAGGGCCCCGGTGACACACGGGCATAGGAATAAAGGAAGGCCAAAATATACATGGAGAAGAGAGCTGGAGAATGAGGTTAGAAAGATTGGGAGGACATGGGGAGAGCTCCAAGCATTGGCGAAGGATAGAACGACTTGGTGTGAGTTGGTTGAGGGCATATGCTCCATTGGGGGGTAGAAAGGCAGAAGAAGAAGAAGAAGAAGAAGAAGAATAGCAAGGCTTGTTCTCTATCAGAAATGAAACAGTTATCACTGTTCTATCCGTTTCTTGGCGTTTCATCTCACTTCTTCCGTTCATTAAATAGAATATACTGTTTAATAAAAGTAAATTTAACTTTAATTAAATATAATACACAACAGCGTTGCAGAAAGTAATTCACTCTAATGGCATAGTTAGATTTTATTGGAACATTTTCATAAATATAGTTATTATTATAATTCCTATCCTGTTGTGTCATTATGCGTCACAAAAGACTAGCATTCTATTGCTCCAATCAGCTCTAAAGTTTGTAATCCTTTCGATCAAATTTACGGAATCCAGCCAGCACCTTTGGTCTCTCTTATTAACGTCCGTTTAAGAGTTTCTCTTAAACGTCATAGTTTCTCCTCGTTTTTTTTTTTTGTGTGCTTCCCATTTAAGTGCCTGTTTTTGTGTGTGTGTGTGTGTGTGTGTGTGTGTGTGTGTGTGTGTGTGTGTGTGTGTGTGTGGTAATTCTTGGCTCTCTTCTTCTCTGTATTTGACAGTCTGTCATCACATTATTTGTCTTATCTTTTGGTCACTGGTCTTGAGATTGTTTCAGTTATTTGTCTTCTCCTTTGGTCACTGGCCTATAATATTGTTTAAGTTATTTGTCTTCTATTTTGGTCATTGGCCGTAAAATGGTTTCAGCTTTACAACGATTATCATATGAGGTATACTCATATATACTTTGATGTTTGTTCACATCTGCAGAACTATTGGTATTTCTATGGCATTACAGAGCAATAAACACTTTATCAGAAGTGATCGCATGCACAAACCAGCACAGTTTGCCAATGACCTTAAACCCTAACTTCTGATGCATGTCCATCGCAGCCTTGTTCTGAGGCGAAACTGTGGCTAGAATGGGCTTGTTTTCCTGGAAGAACCGTTGAGCTAGTTGACTGACCACGCATGACGCTAGCCCACGTCCTCTGTGATCTTCTCTGGTAAACAATAATACAGCAGTGCCGAATTCTGACATGATTTCCAAAGCAACGCATTCACCCTGTCTGTGGATCAACAATATCGCGAAAAAATATCAAACCAAACGAAAAGTAGAACCAATCAGCTTCCCATTATCACAGACGACAAGGAAACCTTGCGGATAGGAAGCCTTCATCAGCACAAATGAACAACAACAACAACAAATACGAAACACGAATACACAATATTTGGATAAATGAAACAAGTAGATTAGTTGTGGACCCGAATTTGGCATGTCGAGTACTGTGTTCACCTGCCAAGACACTGGTCCAGGTAAAATCCATAACAACGGCAAGATTATTATTTGGCCACCAGTGCAGTGTTAATGTAGGAACAGCTGTGATGGTGCGACTAAACGGATTCAACTCTGCATCGTGTAAGATTAACAAAAATAAAAACCTAGACGTTGTTTTCCAGGTCAACCCAACCTAAAATTGGTACCAGGTAAAGTCTTGTGAAGTAAAGGCGACCGGTCTGATGCTGATCGTATCCCTCACCGAGTGACGACAGCCCTATAAAAGATAGGTCAAGCACTATAAACCCCGTTTACCCAACTGTGTGGAAAATGTTCCTTCACCTCACTTATTTATAGAGCGCTCCTTTCTGTCTTGGTCCCTATGTGTTCATTTTATCCTTGTCACCCTGGTGTTTTTCTTTCTTTGGTTCATTCTCCTTAATATCTTGCCCATGTGTCCTCTACTGTGTATCCGATTCTGTTCCCTTCTATTTTGGCCAGGCGTGTCTCGTAAGAGCCTGAGCGAGTTCTATACATATACATATTTTAGACCACTATTTATAGTTTTAAAATTTGGAGTATTTTACCTGTCAAAAGTACTTAAAACAGTTTTTGGATTTGAATAGATCCGAAGCTGTGAAAATAATTCGCGTGTGACTATAGCGGTCTTATAGTTTGAACAACGGATCAATATCATTGCACACGAGTATTAACCCATAAGTGCTCCGTTCTTCTTCCAACTCAAGTGTGAGCCCGAAGAAGCTCAGCACAGTGTACAGGCTCTGTAGCACCGGCGAGGATCCTGAAATACTTTGGGTTGATTTTTAACTCTACATTTTGCCCGGGGCAACGCCGTTAGGGTAATCTTTTCGATTTCAACCTGCCAAGGGATATTTTACGTGCGCAACAATGCACACAGGAGTCCGATCTCACTACCCAGAGACCAGGGGGAATTACCTGTGGGAAGTCCAAGTCCACATGGAAAAATCACAGCCCTTACCGGGGATTGAACCCGGAACCTCTAGCACTCGAGGCGGACACCATGCCTCGAGAAAACACAGCACCCCCCCCCCCCCCCCCCCCAGTGTTCTTATAGATGTCTTCAAGTGATACAGTAGGTTAGGTTTAACAGACTGATGTTTATGCACTGTGATTCTAAACATTATTGTCGTAGTGCGGTCCGGTTTTGGAGATTTGGATTAGTTTCATTTCGTTCATTTAAGTAGAGCATGTTCAATCCCTCTTTTACTTGGAAGTTTCAATTATAATTGTGGTAACTAATATGGTCTGATTTTCACTGGTTGCTTTTTTTTTTTTTTTGGTTGTTAATTGGTTTCTGTCGGCAGATAAGGGCCACTTATCTATGCAGATATACCCGCCATATAACTAATGCATATAATCACACTGAGCTATTATGTGTAGTATAGGGCTCACAGTCTAATGTTCAATTCTGTTATACCCTGTGCAAACATTTAGACCATTGACGGAATCCAGTCAGCATTGTTGGCCTCTCTTATCAACGTTCGTTTTAGGGTTTCTCTCGGACGTATTCACCCCTTCAGTCCATTTGTTTCCCATTTAGACGCAGTCCCAAAACCAGGCGCAATTTTTTGCTGCTTGAAAGCCGACTGTGGTTGGGGACCCTAATTTAACCAGAGAGTTGAACGAGGTTTCTGCGATTTGTGCCTGGGGGATTCTCATCCGAATGGTGATACTTTGTGTCACCGGGTGTTAATCGCTCCATATGCAGTCCTGGTGAGATTGAACGTAATTCACTCACTCATTGCCTGTTATAATTGACTCATCATCATCAAATGCCTTGCCGACCGGCGCGAGCGATCATAACTGTCCACAGTCTGCGATCTGCAGTTGTGTGTATCTGTTTGTGTGTTGACACCCCTCCATGCCATGACAAAAGGCTGTCAAGATTCTTCTCGCGCTGTCTTTCTCTGTCTCTCTCTCCCCATATATTTCCAGTGGCCACACCGTGTTCCAGTTCCCCTCTTCTCGTAACATGACCCCCCCCCCCCCGGTCACACCCCCCCCCCCCCGACAAAAAAAAATTATGGCTGTCTCATTCTGATGTTTATGATCAGTTGTCGTCGAGCATTCACCTCATTCATAACATCTGGGCTGCTATTTTGAGCTGTCCACAAATTTCTAAATATTTTTCTGTAAAACCACATCTTTGAGGCCTCAAGAAATTGTTCGGCCTGCTTATTAATTTCCCAGGATTTACAGCCGGATATTAAAACCCGCTCTTTTACAGACCAGAGAGTGACAGCATAAACAAACTCAACAGGAAAGAACAAACAACAATATTTAGACTTCGAACTGGACACTGTGGTCTTCGAGCACACCTGTACAGGATAGGCATAAAAGAATCTGCTGCCTGTGATTGTGGAGCAGAAAGACAGACCCCTGGGCACATACTGCATTACTGCTCTTACCTCTCCCAGCAAAGACTGTAAATCTGGCCCAAGGGAGCTACACTGAAAGATAATCTATGGGGGACCTGTGGCGACATTAAACGCACAATCCTATTTGTGACCCAGACGGAACTCAATGTTTAGCATGATTCATGTCGAACGCAGAAGAAGAAGAAAACCTGCTCTTTATAGCATGCAAGAATTCTTGTCCTAACCTTTGATGACATGGATTTATTGCATAAAATGTTCTTCATTTTATAGAATGCAGTTTTGGCTGTCCTATCTGTTCTTCATCTCCGTGATAATCTTTTATCGGATGTTTTCCATGTGCCTAGATACTTACATTACTTTACTTGTCTTAAAACAACGTCTTCGACTTTTATTACAACTAATTACCTTTTAAAATAACTTCTCTTTGTTTAAATAAAGCAGCAAAATATGCGGAGACCTGTTGAAAATTCCAACCGATGGAAAATTGCTTAGAACTTCCCTGACATATGGTACTGTGTAGTTTCTTCGGTAAGCCCAAGTGGAGGTAACAAACTCGGCGTCTTGGTCAGGATCTAGTTGCCGAAGTTCAAACCCATCAGGAACTGGTCTGTTGAAGGGTTGAAGAGAACGGAAATAGACAAGTTATTTCTGTATCTGATGTTTGAGAATGGCTGCGAATAAAACCAGAAGAGATCGAGTGAGAAACGATGTGATTACAAGAACTATTGGAACCATACCCATCGTTAAATTTATTGAGAAGCAAAGAATGAAATGGTTTGGTCACCTAATGAGAATGGAACCAACGATGCCAGCATCAAGAGCATACAACATGAAAATCAAAACACCAAGAGGCAGGGGAAGACCAAGAAGATATGGATTGAAGGAGTCACGGACAACTTGAGTCTTCAAACATCACGGTATATGAAGCGACTGAGCGCGCCCTGGCTCGGTTGCCGATCATCTGATAGACTGCGACGCCTAGTGGCACAAGCAGATTTTGACAAAAGAAGAATTTCTGTATCTGCTAGAAACATTGGTGGAGATAAATCGACACACAGAACGACGAACGAACGAACATTATTTTAAAGGGTCACACACTGGGCAATCTCAATCTCACACACTTAACTACTTCAAGTCACAAACCAAGAAACTCTAGACAGTATGATTACCAAGAGAAGACGGAAATGGCTTGGCCACATTATGGGAATGAATCCTGATATACCTGCCAAAACAGCTCTCACATGGACACCAGAGGGAAAGAGAAAAAAGGGGAGCCCAAAAACAACATGGAGACGAACGATGGAAAGTGACCTGAGTGTGGCATCTTTGACATGGAAAACTGCATCGAAGATTGCACAGGACATTAAAGCATGGAAAGTCCTCTCTGAAGCCTCATGTGCCACTAGGCATAACGAGAACTGATGATGACACACTGGGCACGCAGGTCTGTCTTAAATTCAGCCCTTCCAAACACCGGTCTTTCACCCAGCAGTAGTATTTTATCAACAGAGCATATTATGTTCAAATAATAATAGGCATATTAGGAATATAAAGAATAATCACAAAAGTACGGGTAGTAAAATGCGTGCGCACATTTGCGCGCTTACACACACACCAACATACACACGCCCACCCACTTCCTCACCTACTTACACACGCACACACATACACACCTCACATACATCCAAACATTCATACATTCACACATACATACATTCATATATACATTTATACATACATTCATACATATACACACTCTTACACTCACACACATCCACACACACATGCAAATACACAAACACTCACTCATACAGACGCATTAAGAGGTTAATAAAATAGATCTGTGATTTTTTAGAAACATTTTCCCCCTAAAAATTAAACCTCAGTATATTTTCATCATTCATATATTTAAAAGGGGTTCGAGGTTTGAGGTTTGAACAACGATCAACATCATAGCACACGTATAGTAACTCATAAGTGCTCTGTCCTTCTTCTAACTCAAGTCCGAGTCCGAAGACGCTCAGCACAATGCACAAGCTCTGTAGCACCGGCGAGGATCCTTAAATACTTTATGTAGATTTTAAACTCCAAATTTTGTCTGGGCAACGCCGTTAGGTTACTCTTTTTGATTTCCAACTGCCAAGGGATTTTTTTTGCGTGCGCAACAATGCACACGGGCGTCCGATCTAACTACCCAGAGACCAGGTGAAATTATTAGAAGTCCACGTGAATAGAAAGAAATCCCAGCCTTCACTGGGGCTTGAACCTGGGACCTCTAGCACCCGAGGTGCACACCATACCTCGAGATCACGCTGCCCTCTTCAAAAGGCATATATATTTCAAAGTTTTGTGTGTGGGACTAACTGGTGTAATTTAAAACAGTAGGAACCTCAGTGCTTTGTATCGCTAAGAGCCTCGTGAAGTCTAAATCCTACCGTTTTTATAGGTGACTAGCTGTACCTGGCCACGCGTTGCTGTGGCTTAGTTTGGCAAAATGAAAAGAAAGATAGAAATCGCACGTGTCTAATATGGTTACCGTCACAATCATTGTCTGCGCACATACAAAGATAGTCATTGGTTCCCCCCCCCCCCCTTTTCCCAAATCAAAATAGCGTCGCCTATCTTCGCTTGTATGAAAATGTTTTGGTACCCCTTGTACGCTTCATAGACTGTCTTGCAACTCACTGAAAAAAAAAATCCCCTTATTATTGTGATTCGAACATGTGACTAAAGGACAGTAAGGTAAACGCTCTAGTCACTAAGCTACCCTTTCTTTCTTTCTTTCTTTCTTTCTTTCTTTCTTTCTTTCTTTCTTTCTTTCTTTCTTTCTTTCTTTCTTTCTTTCTTTCTTTCTTTCTTTCTTTCTTTCTTTCTTTCTTTCTTTCTTTCTTTCTTTCTTTCTTTCTTTCTTTCTTTCTTTCTTTCTTTCTTTCTTTCTTTCTTTCTTTCTTTCTTTCTTTCTTTCTTTCTTTCTTTCTTTCTTTCTTTCTTCTTTCTTTTTCTTTCTTTCTTTCTTTCTTTCTTTCTTTCTTTCTTTCTTTCTTTCTTTCTTTCTTTCTTTCTTTCTTTCTTTCTTTCTTTCTTTCTTTCTTTCTTTCTTTCTTTTTTCTTTCTTTCTTTCTTTCTTTTTCTTTCTTTCTTTCTTTCTTTCTTTCTTTCTTTTCTTTCTTCTTTCTTTCTTTCTTTCTTTCTTTCTTTCTTTCTTTCTTTCTTTCTTTCTTTCTTTCTTTCTTTCTTTCTTTCTTTCTTTCTTTCTTTCTTTCTTTCTTTCTTTTCTTTCTTTCTTTCTTTCTTTTCTTTCTTTCTTTCTTTCTTTCTTTCTTTCTTTCTTTCTTTCTTCTGGAGGAGGAAGCGGAGCTTCAACCCGCATACAGAAACATACTCCACCTGGGCGCGATCTCTCCAGGATACGCTGCAAACAGGTTGAAGGACATTCTCTGACTAAACTGACCCCCTGTCGAGCTGCTGATCTTCTCCACAACGTTAACGCTGTCGGGGTCGGTAGCTTGAAATAAACATAGCATGTACTTAATTATTTGAAAATTTTGTGACAATAGGCAAATCCAATAGGGGGAAAAGAGCAAAGGGTAAATACTTTAAGGACTTGGTCATTGGCCAGGTGAGACATTTAATGTGTGATTCTGGTCCTCTGGGGCCCTCACAGTTTCTAGCTTGTCATACATCAGTTCACCACCAAGTGGTACAGAACCGACCTGTTTATCTGCCTGCTCATTTCCTAACACACCAGCATAACCTGGAGAAGGACGCTATCCAGAGGACGCTAACTACACGGGACCTCTGAAGTGATGCTTTCTACTCTGCACGTAGCATGCCT